GTCCAGGCCAGTGGTTTAGCATGGTGGAGGGGTAGGCGTCCGTGGGTAGCAGCCAGGAATGTGCCAAGAGATAGAACACTTGTGACTTGATCAGTTTAATCCAACAGTAGGACAGTGTTCCTTAGGTCTCTTTGTTGGTTAAGCCCGTTACTAATTTTCCTCAAAGTTAACATTGTTGTTCTTAAACTGGGATCTCGAAAGTATAACACACTGAAAATGTTGTTTAGGTGTTTCCATGTGAAACATTATCCCAAGTTATGGAGCACTTTTAAGCCCCTTTTCGTAGGCTCGACATGCTTTTGAGCTCCATTGTTATAAACAGATGCCTTTGACAAAGCTTGCGGTACTGGGACCCTGCCTGAGGGCTTTGTTGCACACTAGGCGGGAGGAATGGGACAGAGCTCAGCTCCTATGAGGTGGAGGCCTTCCGATCAGCACCAGCATTTTACGCATCAGCTGTGAAACCTCATTCATAGTTTTGAAGTAACTCTGGATAATATAATGAACTTTTCCCCCAGTAATTGTTTTTTTAAGGGTTTCAAAGCCCACAGGAAAATGGAACGGCCTCCAGCGGTGATGTCTCCAACTAGGAGCAAAGTAAATATCAAAGCTGTTGTGATCAGGGGGACAAATTTTATAAATTTAAGTGAAGAGGAGATTGTTGTGGTGCTTTTTCTGCTGAAAAGGATTGTGCTGAATCTAGGTTAGGAGGTTTAGGGAGCGACTCAGAATTTGGCTTGAAAAGACTCTGTCCCTGCCTTCCTCCAGAGGCCCTGGCTCGAGGGGCCTGATCATGCTAAGCAGTTTCTGAGTTACCCTTAATAGCTTTATGGGTTCCTTGAAAACAGACCCAGTTCAACCTCTTTATATAGAGCCAGAAGGTGTCTTTATCCAAGTATTGAAACAAAAACAAAAATAACTGTGCTTAAACATCTGTTCCTAAGTGAGCCACTCTTCCTTTATAAATAAGATGAAATCATTGTCAAGTAGGAATCAACTTTTGTGTAATCTTAAAAACCTGAAAGGAAAAAAAAAAAAAAAACCTGGGCAGGGGCCAATATAACAGCTTTTTCGGATAGTTTAGGAAAAATGTTTTTGTTTAATCTTTTTAATGAATCTTTAAAGAAAATATTTGTGCCCTCTTAAAGATGGTGAAGCCCACAATGAACTGAAGATCTCAGTGTTAAATGCTGCAAATGGACAAACACAAATCAGAGGCCCATACTTCAGTGGGCTCGTGTTTCTCCTCTGAAGGATCCTTAGACTGCATGGGATTAGCCTAACTGATTTCCCTGCCGTCTGTGTGGGTGTCTGTGTCAGCTCTCTGGATGTACCCTAGAACACTGGGGCAAGGAGAACCTTCACGGTGGACAGGAGTACCCAGAGAGGCGAGCCTGCTTTGCCTGTGCTCTGCGGGATACTGAAGAGTGGCCAGGGCTATGTGGATAGGTAGAGAAGAGAGGGGTCTCATGCCATGAAGGTTCTCTCCAAGCCTCCCTGCCCTATCTGCTGGAAAGCCTCAGTGAGACACAGGAAAGACAAAAATGTTCTGAGTTCTGTGGCAGTGTCCATATACTTGGTGGAGAGCAGTTTCTCGACGCGTTATCTTTCCTTTGCTCCAGAACCAATAGCAGTTTGAGATGTTTGATGGGATCGACACCACTGATGCTTTTTCACAAATAAGGACATTGACAACTCAGAAGTCCTTGCTATTCCTAGAAAGTGCTATGAACTCCACACCGAATCCACTGTTAGAAGGTCACTGTTTCTAACCATCACTGAGAACAGAGGAGCTGCAACATAACCACCCAGGTGCCTCTTTCACATGTGGGTTTGCAGAACACATCTGTACTCTCTTCGTTTAAGAGTCCTGCCTCCTTCTGATCTGAGGTAATGCTCACAGCCAAACTGTTAAATGTGCAAAAGGTGTCTCTGCAGCACTTGAGCACTTAACTGCAGTACCTTGAAAAGTAGCTTTAATATTGAACAATTTCAGAAGCAGACATGGCTTTTAAATGAATTTTCATTTTCTAAAGTGGCAAGATTCTTTATTTTTTGCATCTCGTTATTTTAACAACTGTACTGCTAGGTGTGATTTTTGACATCCCAGCAAGGCAAAGCTGTAAGCTTACCAGATGCCACTTAACTTATGGTGCATTTTGTCAAATCCTCTTTTACACAATGTATGCAAGCTTAATATAGCTTCCACAGCCCTGGAAACTTTGTTTTCAGGATTGCAAAATTAAATTGTCTGAGCTTGTGCAAATCCCAGGATAGATTTCAAAAGGGAGTTTTAGAGTCTGAGTATTATTATCATGGGCTCTTTTAGCAGTAAATTAAGGGCCAAGCCATAACCCCAGGGTCAGGATGTGATTCTGTCTCCTTTCTCCTACCTCATGCCCTCATTCCGCACATCTTTTTTGTGGCCTCCCCTCCTGTGCAGATGCGAGACAGGAGACCCAAGCAGATGTGGCTGTCCTGAGGGGTAGACCAGCTGTTCTCTTCAGCTCATACATTGGCATCACTTGGGAAGGTTTTTAAAAACACCCTTTATAGGGTCCCAGGTTTTCTGATTCACTTGGTCTCAGCACAGTGTTTCTGAAAGCCCCCAGCAAAGCTAACATGAAGCTAGCATTGAGGCTCACTGTTAGGCAGGATTCAGGTGGTCACGGTTACATTTCTTTGTGTTCCCCCAGAGGCTCATGTCCTGAAAGGGAAGAGATGGCATCTTTTTACTGCATTGTTCTCTGTGCCAATAGGCTCTCGAATCACTAAACGGTGTTGAAGTTCAAAAAAATGAAGCATCCAATTTGGTTGTAATATACACTAGACATTTTGAATAATCAAGTTGCATTCTCGTTGATGCCTTAAAATCCACCCCCCCTGTTGGAAATTTTACCCTGAAATACATGTCTCCTGACAGGCATTGGCAGAAATATGCATGTGTTCACATTTAAAAAGAAAAATAAGTAGAAAATATGTATGTCCAAGGAGAATCATTAGTACTTATTTGTGACTTTGAGCTGTTTTGGAAACAAATTATTTTATACTTTATATGTCTGTGTGTGTAGTTGGAGGCTTAGTACCTGCTACCCACTTGATCTAACTTGTGCATCACGATTCTTCACAAGATGAGAGAGAAGTAGTTCTCTCCAAGGAGCCAGGTTCTGTGTATTACTCAGCCCACTTTCCCACTGCAAGTTTGGGCTGTTCTCTGGTTCTCCCTTGGACCAGGCTCCTGTTGGGACCACATTACAAGCCACTACTTTTCTGAAGCCTGCCTTGGCAACCCATTCCAAAGTGGCGCTTCTATCTTTGTTGCCTTACACTTTCCATTTGTTCCACCCAGGCTTGTGTGGGCTTCCAGACTACCTTAGACTGTACTGAGGTGTTTCCAGCTTTGGGAGTCTTTTTGTGGATAGGAACTATCTTCTAGTTATTTGAAGACAGAATAAGCCTGTAATTGGTGCCCATCAAATTGATTGAAAGTTAGAAGCTAAGTGTTGAGCTTTCATCCTGACTGTATTTTCATTGTATTAGGACACTGTTGAGGTGGAGGTAGAACAGAAAAGGCAGGTGGGTCAGAGTAGCCTGGGTTGCTTTGTGGCATTCACTTTGTCATGTGCCAGCTCTATCAAAAGCATATGTCAGGCCACCATGGTGGACCAGCATACTTGTATCAGTTGACTGTGTTCTGAAATACCCAAGCAAAGATGAGTTCATCTTTTTACCCCACAGAGTAATGGACCAAGGCCAGGCATGAAGACATCTAAAATGAAGAAAGGGCCATTTTAGTTGACACACAAAGTTGCCAGATATTGTAGGTATTAGTCACTTATATTGGGGCCATGCTGTTCTTTGTTGAACAATGTAAGAGAGATGAAATGAACACCAAGCTGGGCATGTGAAGCGATGTCAAAGAAAGACACAGAAAGTGGTAAGATGGGGTGGAGATGGATGTGGGCAGGATGGAAAGAGAAAATGCCACAGTACTTGGAATGCAGTGTGGAGGTGCTCTGGGAACTGCAGAAGCACACAGGAGGAGACATTCGAGAATTTAAGCTGCCAGCACACACAAATGGTTCTATTCAAGAAAACATAATCATACAGTGCTCAGATCTGATTAGGAACTTGCATCCAAAGTTTTAGTGCCTCCACCCCTCGATATTTCTGCTCCTCCTTGTCCCTTAATCTGGGTGATTTTTGTCCTCACTACCTGGAATGAATGTTCTCTTGGCCCATGCTCCCTAAGCCTTCCCGTGGTTACTCACTGCTAAGACCCTGCTTTTAACCCCTCTTCTGTGAAGGTTTCCCACAGGGCTGGCCTCGCCTCTCTTCTCACATTCACCCAGCAACTCGTGCCATCTGCTGCTCTGCCTGTACTGTCCGTCACGCTCTGCACCCTTTTAGGCTAAGGACCTTCTCTTTCTCTTTTCTGTCCTGGTCTTCACTCCATCCCCAGCACATGTACCAGATCAAGCCTTTCTGCACTTATAATTCTGTGCTTGGCACAAGTTGGCCTAACTCAGGCATCAAGCTACCCTAAGGTTGCTGTGTTGCCTCACCATCCCTGAGTCTCCTAGGCTGGCTGGCTGGGAGACAGAAAGCTGCTTAGGCCTAATGTTGAGGTACAGAGTGAACTCAGTAAGGCTGTTTCCTGTGTGTGCTCTCAGGAAATTCTATGCCTTGATTTCAGAGCAACCTTAGCTTCACTGCAGATGGTTAGCCAGGCCTTGCCTCTCTGATCCCAGCGATTGTGACACTGGATTATGTTATTTGCGAAAATCCTAAATATTGTTTAGGCACCGTTTTCCACACTGGACTCAAATGATAGCCAGAGTGGTGCGAGATGAATGAAACTGCTTGCCCTTGACCCAGGTCTCTGTGAGACTGCAGAGTGAGTGCCAGGCACAGATGGAGGTGCTTGGTGTCTTTGGTGGCCTGTTGATACTAATGCTGAGTGACTTGATTGTTACTTTTAACCTCTTGTTATTTCTCAGAGTGCTGAACAGATCACCACACTGTGTAGGGGCTTTAACGACACCCAGACCAAGAGTATGGAAGGACCCAGGGAGAGTCAGGACCCTCCTCCGAGGCCTCTGGCCCGCCACCTCTCTGATGCAGACCGCCTCCGGAAGGTCATCCAGGAGCTTGTGGACACGGAGAAGTCTTATGTGAAGGTAATGGGAAGTGCTGGGCATGCGCTCCTCTCGCGGACATTGAGTTGCGTACTAGCAGAGGCCTCAGATCACCTCTGTCCCAGACATCTGCCAATTACAAAGTAGACACCTGTTCCTTGAAGCATCAGGGAGGGAAGAGTGAGAGAATGAAAGAGCTGAGAGGACCCAGAAAAAAAATTCAGATTCTTGACTCATTTTGTTACCAAGGTAGCTCTCACTATGGAAATAAATGTTCTAGTTTGTCATTTGCAATCTGTGGGAAGGAGTCTGTACTGCTTTAGTAAAAGAGACTAGAGATCACTTTAGGTGACAAGGACTAAGGAGCAATCTGTATACAAGTGGCTGAATACCAGCCCCAGAGCCCAGGCAGACCCCAGGCCATCCCTGCCCATGGGAGTCACTGCGCAGAACAGAGGCCCACATGTGGGCCTCTTGGTCATCACACAAGAATGTTCTCATACCACGATAAAGGCATACCTTCTGAGTATCTTGAGTACTCGGAGAATTCTCTTTATCTCCAGTTATGAACAGAGGAGCCTGGGAAAGCAGAGCTGTTTAGGTACTTGCTTGAAGCTCTGGAGCTACTGTAAACTCATTTTGTCAGTTACTGGAACAGCATGGCACAGGCAGCCGCTGAGATTCCAGGCCTGGCTTTGCACCTTTGGGTGCATGTGGGGCAACCTTTCCATCTGGCCCCGTTCTTCCAGGAGTGAGGTGTTCATTCCAGGAGTTCAGGTTGGCACAAATGTGGCTAGTACTTTCTTTCTCCACAGGACATACAAGAACTTCTCCTTTCAGTCATATTATTGCTGTTTCCCTGGACATTACCAAAGGTCTTAGCCGAAGCTCCTTCCTTCCTTTGGACTATAGAGGAGAAAGAAAAGTCAATAGGAGAGACAACATTTCAGTTTCATTTTCCATCATGTCTTCCCTTGGGTCCAGTGTAGAGAGATGAAGTGGCCACCAGGGAGTTCAGCATGTATCCACAGTGACCTTTGTCCAAGTGGCTCTGTGAGCTGTGAATGTTTTCGAGACTTCAGAGCCCTTCTGATATTTTGGGAAAAGTCATGGAGCCCTTGTAGGTAGAGTTAGGAGCAGGGTTGAAAGTAGGACCCAAGTCCCTTTTGTCCTCATGGATTTCTGCCTTCCTGTGAGGCCACACTGCACTAGGAAGGTTATTTCAGTGTGAGGTTAGTAGCATATTGAGGTGGATGTTGTGGTCAAGCAGACACGACGAACCACTCACTTCTCTGCAAGAAACCTGCACTTTGTCTTCGTAGGGCCTCTGGCTTCGTGGCTCTGTCACCCCCAGCGCAGTGCGATCTGCTCTTGCTGTGCAGTAAGTCCTCTGAATGGCCGGCACTGGCCTGGATGGGAGTGACTGCCGCATTGCCACTGTCTGTAGAAATAACCACACTGGATGCCCACTATGATTCACACACTCCCCACTGTTTTTAAAATTCTGATGTTGTTATTTAACACAGAATTTTCCTTGTCATTCTTTAACCTGGATCCCCGCATGCTCCTTGAAATTTGCAACATTTGTGTGTTCCCCGAGATTGTATTGAGCGACTTCTCACATCTCAGGCTGTTGTGGAATGTGGTGAGGGCGGGAAGTTTCTATAGTTGCAAACCCATCAGCATCACGGGCCTGGCTTTGCTTTCAGGACCAACACCATGAAGAGTCTCAGAGTGCTCTGGGCTTTGTGCAGCTCTCTGGGTCTTAGATTTGAACCTTGTAAAATGGGGGAGTCTGTGTAGCTGACTTCTACTCAGGCATGTCTAGGATTTTAGGACTCAGAGTTCTTCATAATAAATGAAACATGAAAGAGAAATCTTTTCTGTCTCTAAATTATATTTCTATCACTAAATTAAATTGGTCTTGGCTTCAAATTAATAAATTGGAAAACTTGAGTGGATTTTATAAATGCAGTGAATCCCCACTCTGCTGTGCTGCTAGAGCCCACTTGACGAGGGCCCCAATTATGGCTTAGATTTTAAACATGACTGCTAATCTTCAGAGGCCTTTTCTTGCATTGGAACATGGGAGTTTGAAATTCGCTGGTGTGTGAAGCCCAGAGTTGAAGAGCTCCTCAATCTTGCGCTGTCCCTCCCAGATCCATGCTAGAGCCGTCACTGTGCAGGGGCAGAAGCCTGATCCCCAGCTGCCGTGGTCACACCTGACAGCGGTACTAAACCTGGCCACATTTCACTTCTCTTATAGAGAAATGAGGGCTCCATGGTCTGGAGGCAGCCTGTTTGGCAGAGAGCCTCTAAGCAGAGTGTGTGATAGAGCAGTAAGGGGATATGCAGAGCTCAGATGATGGTGCTAATGTGTGTTAACCTTTGTATTAGGGGAGCAAAAACAATCACTTCTAGGGTCAAGAATTTCAACAAGACCAACTTCATCATTACTAATTGGGAGCTGCTGTCAGGGCTACTGGGCTCTCTTGGGTACTTTAGAGATTTAAGTATAAAAGAATCTCTTCTTTCAGGATCTGAGTTGTCTCTTTGAATTATACCTGGAGCCACTTCAGAATGAGACTTTCCTTACCCAAGACGAGGTAAATATTCACTTTTTATCTGTTTGTTGACCCTTTGCCAGGCCAGTGTCTGTTTGCTTTTTAGCACACCTCCTAGGAACTATATACACCGATTTCAAAGGAACAACCGAGACTCAGGTTCTTCAGAAAGTCCCCCATGTGTCTCCATATGTGGCCTCTGTTGCATGAGCTCAGTGGCAGAAGTGAAAAGGCTGGATGGTCATGATCTTTTGTGTAGGGAGGAAGTATGGCCAAAATACTTCTCAGTGTGTGCATTTTTAATATTAAATCACAAGTATTCATTTTTTTGTTTTCTGCTGGTTTCTATCTTTCCTGACTTGAATTCCAGGAGTTTTATATCCACTTGAAAAGTTATGGCAGAAAAAACAAATTGTAGCATTTATAGTCTCTCTACATACAAATTATACACTCTTCTGTCAAGGGTTTGCCTCTGCCTTGATCCTGGGAATGCTTCCTTTGGTTGATGTGTGGGCCTGAGAATTAGCAGGCCTCTAGCTTGTCCTGGCTAACACTTCTCAAACTCCACCCTTCACCTAGATGGAGTCCCTCTTTGGAAGCTTGCCAGAGATGCTGGAGTTTCAGAAGGTGTTTCTGGAGACTCTGGAGGATGGAATCTCAGCCTCCTCTGACTTTGATATACTGGAAACTCCCTCGCAGTTTAGAGTAAGTATTTTTATACTTAAAGCAAAAAGAGGTGTGCATGGCACAAATTTTTCCTTGAAAAAGAAACTGTTCCTTGTCAAGATAAATTTAGTGTTTGTACTTTTTCCCCTAGCAGGTGGTAAGAGGAGCCTACATTTTTTTTTCTCCTAGAGTAGTTGCTTCTGGCAGTCAGAAGTCTGGGCAGCTCTACCTCTATGGAGTCACCTGGCTGCTGACCCTACATGTGCTCTTTGTTCATCTTTCTAGAAGGATGTCTAGGGCAATTACTGCTGAAACAACAGCACCTACTGCACACCTGGGAGGCTAGGGCAGAGATTAGTTTACAGATGACTTGATAGAGGCTTCTTTTCTGCGAGGTGTCAGTGTTAGTGCCACGGCTGCCAGGAAGCCCCTCCAGGGACAAGAAGGCAGAAAGTGGTGGAAAGGGTCAGGAGGTATACAATGAGCACCATTCATCCCAAGTAATCAAGAGTTGGCTCTATTAGTTCACTCTTGGGATCTACGTAGCCCACCTTTCCAGATCTGTCTGTCTGTCTGTGTCTGTCTGTCTATCTATCTAATCTTAGCATTTTTTGTGCCATGATTGAACACTGGATCAGAAGGCTGTGTTGCCAGGAATTTTTCCCATCAAGCTGAAGGTCCACTGTGGGGATGCACGGGCTGACCTCCATCTGCTGAGTGAATGGAGTGGTCCTGGGCTTACTTTCTTTATGACACCTAAAGCATTAGTGTTGTGCCATCTGACGGATGGACCAGGCACATTGCATACTGAGTAAACTGTGTCCGATTTGACTTTCTCTACTTCCCTTCTAGAAGTTGCTATTTTCCCTTGGAGGCTCTTTCCTCTATTATGCGGACCATTTTAAACTGTACAGTGGGTTCTGTGCCAACCATATTAAAGTACAGAAGGTTCTTGAGCGAGGTGAGTTGTTTGTACCTTTATAACTTTGCTTTTTGGTTTGTTAACTGTTAATAAAGGGCAATTCATATTTAACAGTATGGATAAATGCAATTTGAACAGATAGGCTCCATTTTTTGACCTTGAAAGTGACAAGTCAAAGATAATATTTTCAATTTATTGATAATAGTGAACAGGTGTCCCTAAGAACAGAGACGCCTCTTTGTCATGCATTGCTTTGCTGTTAAATTGCATTTGAACTCTTTTTCTCTCTGCATTCCATTCTTTAAAACCTCACAACTATAGTCCTTGTGTGTGGTAGAAAGAAATGGATGCTATAAGTTTTTGTTCTTGTTTTGTCAACTCTGTTCTTAAATCCCAGAAGCTACTACAAACTACCGCCATGAAACCCACAGGATGTGTTAGCTAAAATTAAATTCTCTTTGGTGAATCTAGGAAGAACTTGTTTCTTCAGAGGCTGGTTCTGGGATCCTTTCTGCATTGTCATGAAGGGTATGGAGAGGTTTTTTCCTGACTCTTGGAGTGTTTAACCATTTCCACTGATGTGGCTTTGCCACTTGGTTTAAAGGCAAAATTTCAGGGTATCCCAGAAACCCCCAGTTTTAAAAATGGAGTCTTGGAATGGTTGTAATCAATAAGACCCAGACAAAATCCATCTTCTCTAGACACTTTAAACAAAGGCCTAACTCCACTGGCATTTTGTCCCACAAACATCTTATAGTCTACAGTAAAATAAGAGCATTCAATGCTCTGTAACTCCTTTTTCATAAAGATGAAGGATTATTTCATTATTGACTTGGTTTGGCAGGCATGTCCCAAAATGGTACTGTGTGGACTAGATCAGTGGTGGCAAAACTATAGCACACGTGCCGCAATAGGCTATTTATCATCTTTGAAAGCTCTAAAGGGTTCGCCATCACTGTCCTTCTAGATGCTGTAGCTTTTGCTCTTGACACAGAACCTTAAATATCTTCATTCAAATTAGTTGCATTCCAAACAGCTGGTCAACTAGCACCAACTGGTTGAATCCAAAGTGGCAACTGGTGTGTTCTTGGTACCTATACTAAATGTACCTGGATTCCTGTGTGAATCCTTCATGGGACTCATGCACTGAACAGAAAGGCAGTTCTCATTGACAGAAGGGTTCTAATGTCATACTTACAAGAAAGGAACTGCAACCCTGAGGTAATAATTTAGTCTACTTGAAACTGGAGAAGGCTTCAGGGCTTATTTAACTAATTTCAAAGGAAAAATGATAACTGCTTTTCTATACAGGATAAGCACAAACAGTGCTAGTGAAGCCAGTGGGAGAAACACTGGCCATTATGCTGTATAACTGTCTTTGTAGGCTATGGCTTAGGGTCTGGAAATGTTCTGTGGCTTTAAGAATTGTTTTAAACTCACTTTTTTTTTTTTTTTTTTTTTTTTCCCCC